TTGAGCTGAAGAGCTGAGGGACAGCACCAAAGCCCAGAGTTCAAGCCCCACGACCGACAAAAAACAAAAACAAAACAAAAAACGAAACAGATTAACACCAGGAGCTGGTGGCTCATGCCTGTATATCCTAGGTACTCAGGAAGCTGAGATCTGTGGATCAGGGTTTGAAGCCAGCCCAGGCCTACAAATCAGAGAGACTGTTACCTCTAATTAACCAGCAAAAACCTGGGAGTGAACCGGGAACTGGTGGCTCATGTCTATAATCCTAGCTATCCAGGAGGCTGAGATCCCAGAATTATGGTTCAAAGCCAGTCTGAGCAAAAAAAGACTCTCCCCATCTCTTCCAGTGCTGGGGCTTGAACTCAGGGCCTGGGCACTGTCCCTGAACTTCTTTTGCTCAAGGCTAGCATTCTACCACTTGAGCCACAGCACCACTTCTGGCTTTTTCTGTTTATGTGATACTGAGGAATTGAATCCAGGGCTTCATTCATACTAGGCAAGCACTAGGACACCTTCCCACACCTCTTTTTGTAATATATACTTTTTATTGTAAAGATAGTGTACAGAGGGGTTACACAGTATTGAGTACATTTCCTATTGAGCATTGTTACCCCCTCCTTTGTTTTTCTCCTACCATCTCCTCCCTCTGTCCCAACTTGTAAAGTTCATTTTCAACATAATGTCTTGTGCATCTCATTGTTACAATGGTCAACCTGTATCTTTGTTTCAGAATTTTGTTATTTCCCTTCCCCTCCCCAAATTAGAAAAATGTATATATGTATATACAAGGTGCAGGGCATGGGAATCAAATACAGTGAAAACTTGTATTTGTTCTAAGTATTATTTATTTTAATCTTCACTATTGCTGTGATTTAAGTATTTCATTACTCATACTTTACTGATGAGAAAATTAAGAATTAAGTCTTTTAGAATTTAATTTATTTTCTAAATTTATACACTCTTTAGCATTTAATCTAGGTTTCTGGACACAAAGTCTCTGGTAGTAATTTTTTTTAATTTATTTTTATTTTATTTATTTATTTTTTGGGTCCGGTCGTGGGGCCTGAACTCTGGGCCTGGGCGCTGTCCCTCAACCCTTCAGCTCAAGGCTAGTTCTCTACCACTTGAGCCACAGCGCCACTTCCGGCTTTTTTCTTTTTGTTCATGTGGTGCTGAGGAATCAAACCCAGGGCGTCATGCATGTAAGGCAAGCACTCCACCACTGAGTCACCTTCCCAGACCATGTAATTTTTTAATACATACCCTCAGTTTACTAAATATGTCCTGAAACATTCTGTGGAAATACCATTAAAGAAAACATCAGCTGGGCACTGGTGGCTGAAATCTGAGCAACTAGGACCCAGAGTCCAAGCCCCGTGACCAAAAAGAAAGAAAGGAAGAAAGAAAGAAAGAAAGAAAGAAAGAAAGAAAGAAAGAAAGAAAGAAAGAAAGAAAGAAAGAAAGAAAGAAAGAAAGAAAGAAGGGAGGGAGGGAGAGAGGGAGGGAAAACACTTTAAAAACCT